CTTCCAAATTTTCCATGATCATATATGTAACACCCTTCACATACCCTCCCTCGCTCCACGTACCCGTTTCAACAGTTCTACTAGGTGCTTGCGTCATAGCAACATAATTTACCGGAGGGGAGATAGCATAACAACGTGTGCACTGTGAACAAGCAATTCTTGGAGAGGAGCCTAACCACGGTGCCGACGGGCAAAGAGAGAAGGGTGAAAAGAAAATCCACATCCTCCTTGGTCGCTTCAGCAAACAGAACCTTGCAACCCTTTGTGTGGACAAGAAGCTTCAGTGTCACGCTAGTGCTCTTGGAGGGTGCCATTAATGCAAATATTGAAGGCAAATAGGCATATGCATATTTCTAAGCCTTAGAAAGACCTAACAATTTATAGCTTTTCAAATTCATTCATATTGAAGCTGAAGAATCACATGATCAATGGAGATTAAACCCCTATTGATCGGAACTGAAGGATGATCATGATTCACATGGACCAAGAAGCTCCAAAATGATAATTATTGCATAACAAAACACATCTCGATTCATAAAAACGAAAAGTTCAGAGTGGCTCCAAAATGTTCATCCTGCCGACTTCATCACAAGGAACACATCAGTGAGAACTGTTTTTGAATCTGAAGATGCCTTGAGCAATTTCAAACCCTAATGAAGAAACACAAAAACAAGTTAGAATTACGCATTTTAGCATTGGTGCTTTCTTTGAGCAAATTATAAGATGAAATGAGAGAAGCATAATCAAATGATCAAACCTCTTGCAAGCCAAGCTGAACCACCCTCTCTTCAAAGGCTCCAACATCCTTCATGTAACACCCCGACCCTAATTTAATTATCCATTTAAATTAATTACAAGTTTGCCCCAGGGGTAGGGTTAATTTGGTCACTTTTTAATCAGGATGGATTTTGGGGAAATGACCAGTACTCTTACATAGATCGTGCCGAGATGAATCCGTAGACACGTAATGGGCTCGATTCATAACTGTAACGAAGAAGTTACGATCAAGAGAAGCTCAGTGGCGCAACCGGTTGACGGATAATAGCTTTACCCCACAACTAGGATTGTTGTTTTTATCTCATTAATTATCATCCTCTGTTTTAGGATTTATCTTCAATAATTACATGATTAATAGATCATTATAAGGCTGCTTTTGAAGATGAGAATTCCTTATTTCACAAATAATAATCCGTATAGAAGAGAACAGCTAGCTGGGTTATAAGATTTATTTCATTCATATGACTGGGATTTAGATCTTGGACTAACTAAACATGGATCTTAATAGCTCAATTTAATTATAAATTGTACTGATCAAATCCATTCACGCATCCTAAACTAGACAAAACTGATTAATCACATATTCTCCCTAATTTTGATGAGAGTGCTCAATGGAATCAAATTATTACAACCTACAACCATTTTCATTTATCATTCTTTTTAAGTTGGGAATGCTATTGAAATCTAAGCCCGCGTACATCGTGAGAGAGAGAGAGAGAGAGAGAGAGAGAGAGAGAGAGAGCGCATTAAGAATGGAACGTTTAATATAAATTGCTTGGCCTGAAAAGGCATTCAGGAATTGGTCCTTGTATTAGTGAATATACAAGAAAAATCTGATTATGAGTTACCGGGGTGTTACAGCACTGTACAACCAGTTGATTAGCAACAAACGAGGCAGTTAGAGACCAGCATCCTCCTCCTCCTCCTGTACACAGCAAAGTCCAAAACACATTATGTCAGGATTTGAAGAACACAACAAACTGAAGACTCGTCAGGGAAAATAAAGGTCAACAATCCTGATTGGAATTAATATGGACCCAGATATCCAAAATCCTTATTTGAAAACTCTATCTTCTTTTTTTAAATTTACTTAGGAAAGATAACATCAATGAAAATATTATGAAGCATTTTCAAATGGTACTTTTTCCAAGACAATGTTAGCATTTCTCAATTCATTTGCCTCAACTCTTTTTATATTACTTGGTTTCGGTTTTCGATGATTTGCTAGCAGTATCAGACACTACCATCCAATCAAAATTCACTTCTAATTGGGGGTTTTTAATATAAATGGAGACATTAATAGACTTTTCAAGGGGAACCTACTGCAGCTGGCCCAAAATAATAGCAAATAAGGTCTGGTTCCATACAGCAAGTGATTCAGCAACTTCAAAGATAAAAAGTGCATAAGCAAAAACATGTTTAAATGCAGGAGATGGAACAATATCAAGTGAAATGGCCTAAGGTTGCATGCACCCTGTTAGTTAACCTAGTATTTCAGTACAAGATCATCAGACTAGGAAGGTTGATTCACTAGTGACCTGCCACATGACTGTGAAAACAGTGTAACCCTAATTCCACGCCAACCAAAAGCTCATTATCTTTCAATTTGGAACAAACTTACATGAGTTCCGGTACACCAAGAGGTACCCTTCTAGGATGTGGCATCCAGGGGTAGGAGCCAGGGAGCTAGGTGGCGCCTCAGCGCCGGCCTAGGCGGCCCTAGGAGGGTCTAGGCGACCCTAGGCGGCTCTAGGCGCCCTAGGCGGCTCGAGGAGGGTCTGGGCGGGCGTTTTGCCGTTGAGGCGTGGACGAAGGGTGGTTGAAGCGCGCAGGATCCGCTGCTTGTTAGGAAGAAAGACGGAGAGAGAGAGAGATCGAGACAGAGAGAGGAAGGAGAAGGCGACGCTGGGAAGATGAAGATATCTGACCTAATTTTTATATTTGAACAGTATAGCCGCGCGGCTATACTATTAATTTGGAAAAAAATTAAAAAAAACACGGAGTATAAAGGCGCGGCCATACTATTTTTATATATTATATTTAAACCGTATAGCCGCCCAGCTATACTATAAATTGGAATAAAAAATTTTAAAAAGGGATTATCGCCGACCGGCTATACTATTAATTTCATAAAAAAAAATTAAAATGGAGTATAACCGCTCGGCTGTACTCTTCTAATATGGGTTATCAAAAAGAAGGCGAATGCCATGGATATTGTGGAAAAAAAAAACGATGTGTTGTGGTGGTGGTGGTGGTGGTGGTAATTTCAACCCTCAGTAGTCGGTATAGATATGCAATTATGAAGATCAATTAATTTGATATTGCTCGAGAATTGCCGTTAACAAGTGATGACATCATTGCTTTTTTAAGTGAAAAGACATCATTGCTTTTTTAAGAGAGAAGAAGAAAGTAGAAGAATCTGATATCTTTGTATTGGTATTCCTCTAGCAAATTCTATATTTCTAGCTTGAAACAACGACATTTGCAACTTTCCTAAAACCTCTCAACGTCAAAAATCTGCGTTGAATCATCCACTACTTAAAAAAACCCCTTGCGCGACCAAACAAAATTCGTCGCGCAAAGTGACTTTGCGCGACAAATATTAACCATCGTCGCTCAAAGTCTTACGCGACTCAATTTTGCGCAACGAAAAAAAAATCGTCGCAAAAAGTCACTTTGCGCGACAAAACTTTGCGTGACGACAAAGCATCGTCGCGAAAAGTAACTTTGCGCGACGAATACTAGAATTCGGTGCACACAGTTTTGCGCGACAAATAGTGATTCGTCTCGCAAAGTATTTACAAAAATAAATAAATAAAAAATTATTTTAAAAAAATTTTGGATGCCTTTGCGCGACGAAATAATAATCTTCGTCTCGCAAAGTCTATACAAAAATAAATTAAATAAAATAAAAAAAATTTAGAAAAATATACTATTGTAGTTCGGATTGGGTTTTTGTAGAAAATATATATTTTAAATTGACGATCAAATTGGTTCATTGTATTCATATAGGGTCAAGGAATGTAGCTGTAAAAAATCATCAAAAT